CCACCCGTCGTATTGTAGTAAGAAAAATGAATGTCGTACACGTGGTCTGCATCTTAGGCCCTTAGGGAAGAGGGGTCGTGAGGATGCAATCATAGATAGGGTGACCAGACGTCCGGCACATTAGGTGCGTGATTGTACACTTTTTAAATCTGCGTTCCCCTCTTCGAATGGTCCTGCTATTGTCCCGCATCCACGAAAATTGAATATTTTAATTTTTATGTAAATAAATATTTCACCGCATGTGTAATATAATGGTCTATGGTTTAAGCTAATACCATTTGAGGTTGTGTCCGCTATCATTATTTAATTATTAACTATGACGTGTTTTAGTTTAATGATAATTACATTATAAACACTTATGCGTATAATAAGTTGTATCTAAAAGTACAAGATACAATAGAAGTATCGGTAATTTTCAACACTTGTATAGTATATAACTTTTATATTACACAAGTGTCCCACTTTTGGACAGAAAAATTATGGTGACGCTTTCTGAACCGTATTTATGAGCGGGAACTGTAATTATTTGAAAAGCATTCATTCGAAAACGCATTCGTTGGAAATTAAGCCATTGGCAATATTATTTTATTTAAAACGTGTATTTTCGGAGTATATTGTATTAGCTTAGAAACGTATACTTTCGGAAATGTAAACCATAACCCAATAATAAACGTTTCCAACGAAACATTTTCCAAGAATATAAGTTTCTAAGCAATGACGAATCCGACACAATGTCTTTTAGTGCATTACGAATTTACGAATTACAATTCCAACATAACATATTTCCAACTGATTTCAATTCCAACTATATACCAATTATGTAAATTAATTAAAACACAATTCTAATAAAATATTTTTCCGATGGTATATATTTCAATAGAAATACGTTTTACGATGAAAAATGTTCCAACTTTTTATGCTCGCCGATAAAACAGGTATAGTTGATATATTTTTTTGGACTCAATTAGGCATTATTTGTCGGACCGAATTCGTTGTGAATTTGGGTCCGTGGGGCTCAAACTGCAATGTGTCCGACCAGACGACAATGTCTGTCAGACGATCCTTCCCCTCTGGGCCACCACCACCCCCGCCTTGCAACAGTGAAGACGACGGAAGGTACACACTCGCACGCGCACCGCACATGGGAAGAACACATGGTACACGGAGTCCATTGATCCTCCGCGCACCTGTCCCCCGCGACCACTGCCGAGTGTCTCGCTCGGTCGTCGTCTTGTCGTAGTCGGCGGTGGCGGTGGAGGCGTGGGCCAATGACCACAGAAGCGCGTGTCCCTCCGGCGGGGTCGTCGACGTGTCCGCGCTGATAATTTACTTAACCGGCCGCGTTGAGGTCAAACTGCATTGCCACGTACGATAGCGGAACGTCACTGCTCCTTCTTCGTCGTCGTGTCCTCCCGTATAGGTTCAATACAATAATATTAATGCTGCTCCTCTGGCCGGACAGATGAATAATATATTTTTCTACAATTTCGCGGTCAACATCTCGTCCTGTTTGGTAATTAGTTTTTTTTATAATTGCGGAGACGCAAATCTCATATCTCGTCCGAAGAAAATTAAATGGTGCATGCACCAAATCCGAAGATTTTCTCTAAAAAACATCATCGCGTCTTCCCTATTGTATTGTGCACGGCTGTGCAAAACATTCAAAACTATAGGTACCCAATTAGTGTTGCTCGCGCACATTGAAATCTTATCAAAAATCAAATCAATTCAAAAATTTGCTTTTTATTTTTTTTTTTTAGAACGGTAAACAATCAGTTATAGTTTATGGAAAAATGAAATTTCCACAAATAGGTGCTCGCTTTTTTGGGAGGGTGTGCACCCATCATTCGAGATTTTGTATAGACGTATGGTGAGTGCACGAACAAAACATTTTTTGTTTTCTGTAGCCACATTTTTATTATTTTAACAAGGGCGTTTAAGACGAAAGTGTACGCATTATAATCCATATCCGTTATGCAACGACGTCATAACACGCAGTTCGAGTCTGTTTTCCCCCTTTTCGTTCCCGAACAAGATATTTAGATATCCTCTCGCGGTGGAGGCGGCCCGCATAATATTCTATAAAAGTATAAACAATATAAGTATAAAAACGGCGGACGTACGTTTTGATGGATGTGCGCGTGGCCGACGACTTGTACTCGTTTTCTAATAATTAAACCAAAAGTAGTACAACAAAACATTGGTTTGCCGCCTTGCCCCGGCGATTGAGCAAATGTCGAAATCTTCCCAACCACTGCACAGACACACGTGTCACCTTACCGTCGTTTGAGGGCATTATAAATTATAATAACTATTTTTATGTATATGTTTATCCGTTACGGGGTGGCCGCGATTATTATGATGTATATTACAAGATAATTGGTGGTGAATCGGCTTATTGAAGTGGCCATATTATAGTTGTTGTGATTTGTTTTTGATTTAAGAATCGACTTTCGTTTTTATAAAGTTTTAATCCTATCCTACCTTATGGCCACTGCTCAAGAGTATTAATTTACGTCTGTCATTTACCAATAACATATTTTTGACAATGATATGCTGACCAGGCTCTCTCCGCCGCATGATTCCCTCGATATTGGACGAAAACTTCAGTCTTTTCCGTGTTTGTATGTGTTGTATACAATATACTACAAGGGAGGTGTTCGTGGTTAGGTTTAAGTATGATGTAGCAAAACATATTCTAGTACATATAAATAATGTTGCGTGATGACGGCCGTGGTGGGGCGCAATGTGTCGCGATCGCACACCGTCGTGTGACCCGCGGAAGGAGACATCTGTAAACGGGTCCCTTCCTACACATATAATAATATTATACTGGCGTGTATTATGCACATCGTTTACAATAATCGTGCGTAGTAGGTACGTCCTCCAATACCCTTCTTTATTATTATTTCTGGTCCATTCATATTTATTTACGTGTCTGGGAACTATAAAAAAACAACAATACTAACCCTTTTTCGTCGGAGCCAGAGACGGGAGTACATTACTAAACAGGTACCTAGGTGCGCACACACTATAATGAAATTCGATTTTTAAACTAATTCTTCGATATTATAATATAAATCGCCCATCGTTCTCTGCAGTGGTGTCGAGTTCGATGAGTAAAATATGTATATTTTTTAACGGTGTGTTTCGTCGTTGTAATTCGTATATTATATTGTACTCGTTCGCCGTTCACGTGTATGATACTATACGTATTAAAAATGGGACGTCTTCGCGCTTTGTGCTCGTCTATACATAATAATAATACAATATAATTATATTTACATACATAATAATACAATATTATAAACGCAATATAACTATTCCGGTTTGGCTATAATACATAATGTATACTATATTTTATATGTAGTCTACATCTGCAGTGGTGCACCCGTGGGTAATACCGCCCCCCTGAACAAATAATATATATATGCTCAATAACATTATTAAATAAGTATAATATAGTACAAGGCAAAAATTAAACTCATTTTATTCAAAATAATGATAATATACAGACATACAGATGATTACAATGATGACAATTATAAAATATAATAGGTCACATAATTATTATGAAAAGACTCAATATAGTTAAAATTAAATGAATCGACTTAGGCATCATTAGCTAATCTCGTACTGTTCTATTTACTCCTGTAGGTGCCGCCAGAATTCAGTTAGTTTTTTGTGTTTGATAATATGTATAATATAAAAAGTCTTAGTATTTCTATTTCGACAACGAGGGACGTACTAATGTCAAATTTAAACAATTCTGAACAGTTGATGTATCCAATTCCAATAGGCAATGACCAATATTGTATTACATAATAAAACCATATGTATCTGTCCGAGTTTAGTGCATTAGTATATTATAATATTATATAATACGAATACGAATTTAATACAATATACTATGCCTTCCCAAAATATATATTTATAACATCTAGTAAAAATTAGAAAATGTCGAGTGTTGCTTTCGAGTAGACACACCCGGTCTGTGCTATATATTTTAGCCATGGTTCAGCTGCCCGTTGCGATGCTAGCCGAAAGAACCGAAACATTTGCCTGCAGCTAAACTTCATATTATTGTGAAAATGAAAACACGCATTTAAAAAATCGTCGTTGACCGCGTACGTTAACATGCAGCATGACACACAATGTTTATACTTCATCAAACGGATTTCGAGCAATATTCCCCCATACAAACACCCCCACCGGTCACGCATTGTGTACAGGTGTTTTGGCGTTCGGGCTATAAAGTATGGCTACTGCAGTACTGTTACTTACTACAATATAATTAACTGACTGCATAATAAATTATAATAATAATTACAGTGTAATATTATAATTTATAAATGTCTATATTATAAATTATTATTGCAACAATAACGATGACGCTATGACGGTATCTACATAATGTAAATAGAAATCGAAATTAAATTTTAGTTATCTCCTGATGTATTTTTGTAATTAGTTTGTAAAAATATAGTGGTTAGGTTTCATATCTACAACTAGTGATTAATTTGTTGTAAACTATCTAAAAATGTATTTTCGGCTCTTTTCCTCGGACCGCAGTTCTATTTAAACATACGTTTTCTAACATTGTTGTCTTCTAAAACGTGATGCACTGTTATGCATAGTAAAATGTTAAACATGTGCTAAAATAAAAACTTTGAGTATACTCACAACGTGAAGTTTCCGTTATTCGAGCTTTTCACAAAAATGGTTTCATTGGGATATAAATTATATAAAGGCATAATGTTTACGTAGTACGCGTACGAATAAACGTTGTTTTCAGTAAAACATTTTTGTGAATATATATTTGTTTACTCTCCGAAGAGTATTGTTTCATATTTAGGTAACCGTTTCGCCGTAAATCCCTGTACTTGCAATTATTATTATTGATTTATTATATTCATATATATAACAACATGATTACGCGCCCAATAATACATTGAATAATCATTAATGACCGTCTTGTTTTGTTTTTCATGTTTCCACAGAACCCGATTTCATAGAGAAAAAACCGTCGGTGATGGCTGCGTCGTGTACGCTGTCGGCCATCCGCGGCATCGACCCTTCAGCAGCCGCCGAGGTGGCCGCCGAACTGTGCGTTCTGTTGGGGTGCACCGCGGCCGAAGTGGACGAACACGTGTCGCTCATCGACGCGCTAGTGGCCAGTACAACGGCCGCGGCCACGCCGGAAAAATCGGAGAACAACAACCCCGCGTCTGAGCCTCCCGTCAAAAAGCCGTACCTCGTGCAGGACTGCGGCTTAACAGGCGGCGGTCGTCGGTAGTGCCGGTGACGCGTCCCGCGGCCACGGCGTTACATGTATGTGCGTTACATGTCGGCGCGGCGGCAAATGCAGGTAAATAAGGAACGCGGTTTTCGCGCGCTTCCATCCACCCGCACCGTCAACAGATTGGTCGACGTATTTTTTTTTTTAATTTTTCCCCCGAGATCCACCCACTGCTAAAGTCGTGTGCCGTGGGTCGGGTTCTCCATTTGGGCCTACGATATTATTATTATTATCCGAAATTATCGATAATAATGGTACGGTTGTCGACTACGACGATGAAGGACAATAATAATATGCGCAAAGCAACCGTGTCGTCGTCACATAATTATTGTAAGATATTTTGTTTTGTTTCTACCTCATGTGAAATAATATATTATAAAATGTATTAATGTGCCACCGCAGGTGTGTTTTATAAATTTTTCTTATTTTTTAATTTTTATTTATTTCCCCCTTCCCAAAAAATTATTAATTTTTTTTTTATTTCTATTATTATTATCATATAATCATCATTAAATGATTTACTTGTTTTTTTCTTTTATTCAACAATCTTATTGTAATAAATGAACTTTTCATTTTTGGTTTTATTATAATATATTATTATGCTTTTTTTTCTATAGCGATCATCGTGGCCACAACCACAAGCGAGGTCCGCTATCTTATTTTGTTAATTAAATATTATTATTATTATTATTATTATTATTATTATTATTATTATTATTATTACATACGTAGGTTATATTATTATATATTTAGTTATACTATTAAAAGAAAAAATGTGATAAATAGTTTTAGATATTAATATAATGTTCTCCGCGGGAGCATATTATATTTCATAGGTTTAAGTTATTATTATCAATATGATAACATTATTCTTCTGTCTTTAGTGTTTTAAGTTTTACATCCCTTATTGTTTATTTTATTTAATCATTAGTTATTTTATGTTTGATCTCTCCTCTTTATATGTATGTAAACGATATGAAAAACGTTGTTTCATTAAAAAAAAATCCAAAAAAAAATCTGATTTGTATATAATATTTTTTTTTCTTATTCATTGATTTTTTTCCCCCGTTGAAGATATTGAATAATTATTAATCATAGTACAAATATGATACGAATTTATTCACAGACTTAGTTAAATATTGTTATAACAATTTAAATGTAGCAGAAATTTTATAGATCTCTTGAACGTGGGCTATTCATATATTATAATAATATTATTATTCGTAAAATTAGTTTTGTGTTATTATTACTAGGTATTAATATTCTTTATATTTTCTTTAGTCATTCAGTAAATCAAATTATTATTTGAGTCAAATAGTAGCTAAATTATTTACACGACATGTTCTTGATCTCTAAAAACGCGTATAGAAAAATATAATATACGAAAAGAAAAATTATTATAATATAATATTAATAAGTAGGCACCAATCTCTAGTAAGATTATTTTTATAATTCACCTAAATAAGATTAATCACGCGAACGGTAACTATGGTTAACCATTATTTTTACTTCTTCCGTTTTAATAGTATAATAATAATAATGATAATTAAATTGAATTATTATACGTGACAATATAGTCAATGCAAAAGGGTACGGTTCAATAATCATCATTTGAGCTACCTTGTTTTTTTCATACTCCCCACTGCTACCCTACCCATAATTTGATTACAATAGCAGTAACGCTATTTTCATTAGTAATATTATTATTATGTTTTTTTTATTATTATCATCATTATTATAACAATTATTAGTCGCATCGAAATTATATTATCATCATATTATTACCTAGCAGTTATATTATATAATAATATGCATACGAGCCATATGATTTTGTCCTTTTCTTTATTTTGAGGAATAAAAAATATAATTATTACTAATTAAATAATTAAATATTAAATTCATTATTATTTTAATGATCGGCTAAATGATTGTTTTTTTCGTCTTTTATTCGATTTAACGGCCTGACGAATAGTGAACGGCCCTAATGTATTTATAAATATTATTATTATTTATTATAATTATTATTTTTATTATTATTAAAATAAGTTTATCAATATTATATTAATTTTAGTATTCTCTCGAGAAGGCGGGCCAGTTACGGCACTGCGCTCAATACAGCTAAACAAACCAAATCGAAACATCCCTATTTTGATCGTCGTCGAACGATCATCCCCAATTCTTCCTTCCCTCCTCACACACTTCCCCGTACTTTATCGATAAGTATTGTAATAAAGTGTATACCGATAATATAATATGTTCACTTCATTTATTTTTATTTTATTATATGTTTTTTTCGTCTGTACAACTTACGTGTTATAAAAAGAGATATTTATTGTATAAAAAATACGAAAAATAAATTAAAACATATATTTTATAACACCATAATAATTGTTATTTTATTTATATTGCATGAACAATACTCTTCGCCGGTGTGTACATATATTATATTACACGAGATCTTCAGCACGTAATTTAATATTTAAATAGTTATGCCAAATCTTCTACATAAAGTACTCAGCATCGGAACAACTAGTTGAGGGGACTATAACCACCCCTCTTCAAACACAACAAAAATATAAATTAAATAATAATAGCCTCGAAAAATGTTTTCCCCAGTGGAGCAAATGATAAGCTAAGAACGAGTATGCTGCAAGACTGATTGTACAATTGATGAACTTGTTTATGGTTTATCAATAAGTGATAGAATATTGGAAACTAAATATCAGAAAAAAAATTATACGTATTAATGTAAGTTTATATTTATTAAAAGTCTGCACTTACAAATTTAATAACTTATAGTAATATCAGTGTAAGGAAAATATTTAGTCTATTAAATGATAGAAAATATGAGGATTACTACAGCAAACCCTCCAAAAAAATGTTTTTTACTAATTGCGCCAACAATTACGCAATTTATACGTTTTGTAACTTTTTTAGGTCAATTTTTTCATAAAATTTTAGATTATAATATTTATAATATGTACTACCTAGTTTATTATATATTATACACTATACAGTTTAGGTAGGTTATACAATATACATCGTGCTATATATATAATCTGTTACATACCGAACAGTCAATTTCAAGTAAACTCTAATAGTTTTGAAAAATATATTTTATCTATGCAACACTCATTCATTACAACAAACAATTTACTACTCAAAGTTTTCTTCCTTTTGTATCACGGTCGTTTATTTGTGATTCCCTATGTTTGTTTTTAATTTTATAAACAGAAGCAACTGTATATTTTTTTCTGTAAATGTTTATTTTATACTCACTGTAGCCGTTTATGATGAAATAAATTATATTAAATATCTAATAAAGAATCTAAAAAATCACCATGATAAAAAAATATGTCTTCAAAATAATTATAAAGTGCATCGTAGGTCTATGATATAGTGTTACAAAAACACATTCGCTTAATCGCTTGTATGTAACTGCTGTCATTATGGAATACTTATATCTACAGAAATAGATTTTATTATTTATTAAAGAATAATGAACACTCAGCAATTATCAAAAACTGAAAAAACAGTATACCTATGTAAGTAAAAGTATACACGTGTTTAAATAAAGTAATTTTATTTTAATGACCGCAATAAATATAATATTATATTATACGGTTTTGTATATTATTAATAACTACCGTTTTATGCAGTTAAGGCGTATTATTACAACGTGCTTCGACGTAGTTACCAAAGAGTTCATTTCCTTAAAATTGACCCGAAAATTGATTGCATGCATAAATTATGTCATTTTTTTCAAAACTTATTGAATTTGCCAAGACTATGAACGTTTATACCATTAATTGGCTTCTTAGTACTTTTTAAAATGCCTTCGTTCGATAAATTAAATATTTTAACCCATGACAGCTATAATTATATAACAATCTGTACTGAAAAAAAATCTTTGAAAACATATACTTTATATTATTTTCAAATTATTTTAGCAACTACACTCATTGTTATCATTCCTAAGTTTTTACATTTTTTAATGACAACATACAAAATGCATACTACATTCAAATCAAATCTCAAACGAGTGTAGTTAACAGTTAATTAATTATACATTTTTAAGTTTAAATAAGTGATGATTAGTGAACCAAAATTAAAAAAATATTAAGACTTCAAAATACTTTATCCGTAAATTATACTGAATATACCCAACTATAGGTATATTTGACTCAATTCTGTTTTTGTTTAGAATCACATTTAATAATAATTTTGACACTTCAAAAATAGATAATACATACCTAATATATTAACACGATAACTTCATGTTAAAATGAAATTCGTAATCATGATTCACAAAATTATCACCAAAAAAAAAAAAAAAACTAAATTACAATATGTTCGTAACCCAATAACGAGTGTTTAAAATAAAATGAATTAACTGATAATACAATTACAGTATTCGTCATACCTGACAATAAAAGTATTAAGTATATAGGTATTTAGATACTGCGGCAGTTCAACTCGAATACTTTGAAACGCTGATAAAAAAAATTTGTTGTCTGTAATAAGCAAATATTATGAAGTAATAATATTTTAAGTAAGATACTTACACCGCCGTTGGACGATGATATTATATTATTATGGGAAAAGGTTCAAATGTCAGCTTGTTCGATTTCAGTAGACGTCTATACAGGTGGTATTCAATTTACATCAAAAAGCGCCGCGTGCATATACCGCGCGGAGCTGTGAGGTACTCGAATGACCATTATAATATATGTATTTATGTATTATTGTATTACCGCGATACCGCTTACCGGGTGTGGACGGGTTTGCATTTTGCAGTGCGCATGTCATCGGTCAGCGGAATCGCGCGAACATCATCAAACGATTGTTTATTAGATATTATTATTGGTCGGCAAGAGGATAAAAGGAGGGAATAATTATGCATCATTATGTCATTTGTTGTATAAAAGTCCTGTATAAATGTCAGGTGGGCTTACAGTTACACCGTCTATTCGTCTGTCGTATATAGACCGTATACTATCAAAAAGTCCAAGGTAAAAAAATCCGGTGTACATAAATATGATGTGATGCACAATCAAACATCCAATAAGTATTAATATAAATAATAACTAAATGATTTACCTAACCAAAATTTGAATAATCTTGCAGGTTCCAATATCAGCAAAAT